AGGCATCTGGTGGATTTGAACAGCCGACCTTTTGGTTAGCAGCCAAGCTCTTAACCACTGTGCCACAAGTCCACTAGGATGGCTAGTATTAGACAAATGGAAAATAACAAGTATTGGTGAGGATGTGGAGTAAATGAAACACTCCTGCATTGCTGGTCGGATTGTAAAGTGGTGCTGCCGCTATGGAAAACAACTTGGCAGTTCCTCAAAAAGTTAAACTTAGAATTACCATATGATTCAGCAATCCAATTCCTAGGTATATTCCCATGAGAAATATGTTCAGATAAAAACTTGTGTATGAATGTTCACAGCAGCATTATTCATAATAGCTAAAAAAAGGAGAGATAATCCAAATGTCCATAAACTGATGAATGGATAAATAAATGTGGTACATCCACACAATGGAATATTATTCTGCCATAAAAATGAAGTACTGATACATGCTACAACACAGATGAACTTTAAAAACATTATACTAAGTGAAAGAAGCCAGTTATAAAAGACCACATATTGCATGATTCCATTTATATGAAATGTCCAGAATAGGCAAATCCATACACACAGAAAGTAGATTAGTGGTTGCTAAGGGCCAGGGAGAAAGGGGAATGAGGAGTGACTGCTATTGGGTATGGGCTTCTTTTGAAGACAATGAAAACTTTTTAAAATGAAATCTTGGTAATAGCTGAACGACTGTGTGAATATATTAAAACTTACTGAATTGTACATTTTTAAAGAGTGAATTTTAAGGTATGTAAATTATACCTCAGTAAAGCTGTTATTAAAAATAGGATTCAAATCCGTTGACTAAAAAAAACTTTTAAGTTTTGAAAATTCAGTTATTACTGGTGCTAAAAACTACTTTGATAATTATGTTTCTTTAAAATATTAAATACCTTCCTGCCTTGTTAAGCAGAACACAATGAGTATTGCTTTTCTGAATATACACAGGGTCATCATTATGAAACACCAATTACACGGCTGTATATTCAGAGAAGTCAATGGTGTGCAGGCTATTAGCCCTTTACGCGGTACCGCCAAAACTACTGTCCTTTCAAAGTTCTTCCACCTGTCTTCTGTAATTCTGTTTCCTTATTCTCCCATGAGAAATCAAGAAAAACAACAGATTAGAGGCAGGAAAGACATATGAAGGAAAAGCCAAACAAGTATGCATACAGGTGGCCAAATACCCTTAAAGAAAAGCCCAGTTCAGAAGATTCTCTGTTTTCTTCTCTCCCACCCACTCCTCTACAGGCGCCTCTTTCTCACTAAGAACACAGCCTTTAAGTTCAGTGGTCCACACCAAGGGAGAAAGGGAGGAATTCTATCCAAATATCTGAATCATGGAAAACCTCAGATGATACTGACATTCCCCTAAACTGACTGAGTCGTCCTGAGAATCACCACAGGGCAAGAGACTACCTTATTCCAGTGTGCCCTGCTTTGTCACATTTCACACAGAGCACCAGCTTTGGGACAGTTATTACACACATCAAGCCTAACTGACTGAGGACGTCTGGCCTCCTACCTGTAGCTCCAGTGAACATTTTAAATAAATTAAATTACAATAGCAACTGCACCCATTCTTGGGGTCAATATTCTTTCTTTTTCCTACACTGACAAAGTTTGAGGCACCAGGACCCCCTCACCCTAAGCCCCTCTAAATGATCAATAGGCCACTGGGTCCTAATCGACCTTCCTTTAAGGCTGTCAGGAGTGGGGTGAACCTCTGGCCTATGGAAACAAAGCAACAGGCTGAGAGGAGACAATCTGATTCTGTCTTGAGACTAAAGTCAGATGATGGTGAGCTTTCTGAAACTAGAGTAAGGCCATGCAGGAGGCATGACTGGGGCCGTAGCAGGCCACACTGACATGCAAGTTATGGAGGAGCAAGGAAGCTACATGTAAATGGAGAAAATTGTTCTGAAAGGCAAAACGGGAACAGAGCAGATAGAGAAAACAGCAGGGATGGGAGCCACAGCATCCCAGAAGAGATTCCAGCTTAGTCCAAAGGGGTCTCCAGAGGGAAAGTCACTCCAGACTTTCCAGGTCCAGCTGCACTTCATCTTCTATCCTTGTAGGCTTAAGACTGCTTCTGCTATTCTTTCACGAAAACCTCCTTCACCTAACTTGAGTGGCTTATGTTCTTGTAATCAAAGCTGCTCTAGCTAAAGCAGGGCCTGCTTACCCTCCCTGACATCAATCGGAAGCAAGCTGTATTTCCTAGTGTCCGCCAAGAACCTCAGATTTTTTTGAATAAGCCAGCCAATCCTGTTTACAAGTATCAATATTATAAATACAAAAAACTCGCCTGAAAACCTTTCTGTATAAATGAACCTCAGAGCCAGATTACTTTCATTTATTTCTAAAAACATTCTGAAAATCATGATTTTTTTCATTTGTATTAAGCAAACAGTTTCGGTGTCTCTGCTCTTTCATCACACGACAAGGGCAAGGAACCTTGTCAGAGGTGGTACTGTGGCACGCTGGTGAAGAAGGTAGCAAAGAACATCCACAATAACTTGGAACAGCACCAGAGCAGCTAAATTCATCCTCAGTTCCTCCAGACATGACCACAGAGGCCAAAGAGACTAAAAATACTTGGCGAGGACAGATAAAAGCTGTCAAGGATATTCAGCCCAGTTAAGAGATGTCACCACCATCACCACATTTGCATTAGAAGATGCTCATAAAAGCAGCAATGGGTCACATTTAGAATCTTCAGATTCAGTATGGAACTGATAGTTCTCGCCTCCCAGAACACCTGGAATAAATCTCTGGGCCTTGAATTTGGTCAAGTAATCTATGATCAATTTCTAGAGGACCCTAGGAAGAAAGACAAGTACTTCAAAAATGTTGAGTACCCACTCACCACCTTTCTACTTGTTACAGCTTTCTTTTTAGCACAATAGCCTCCATCAATAAAACTAAATGAAGACGACACCTCCATCAGAAGTTTTGCAAAGCAAATGATGATTCAGGCAGCATCCTTCATAACAGCAGAGACAGAAAAGACAAGGCAGAGAATATTTACAAGAACACCAGGAACTTTACCTTGACCCTCTGTATCTTTAAATATGGAAGAAACTTTTAAAAACTAAATTATATTCAAAGCTTCTCTCTAAGTGCTGGGCCTTTAGTAATCCAAGGAGTATGTCCATGTGAAGACCCCATATAATTATAATTATAGTGGACCCACATAGATTTCCCAACCCACATGAGTTTGGTTTTTCTTAATTTGTTCTTTTTTTTAATAATATTTGATGGTGTTTTCAGTGCAAGTTTACACAGCAAATTGGTTCCCTTTTAACAATTACTACACAAATTGTTCAGTGACATTGGTTAGCTACGTGAGTTTTTAATAGGAAGAGTCTTATTTACTGAATTACTGGCAATCAATACATTTTAATAATAATTACATTAATCAACTCCAGAAAACACAATAAATGAATATAAACACTACTACCTTCAACATAAAAAATCTGAGGTGAGCAGATACTTTTTTCTTCTGTAATCATGTATTATTTAAGTCTATTTTCCCAAGTAGACTTCCAAATATCTGAATGAAGACCTTAAATATGTCACAAGGAATAAATGAGACTGAAGGTTTCATACTGTGGATCCTATTTAACAATTTAACAACTTTAACAATTTTTTTACATTTTCTCAAAGCAAACACAATGTTTTAAACAGGCAGACCTTTAAAAGTTAAACCCTCTATGCATAGCAGAAAGGAGGCACCTCAGAGACTGCAGTTCGAATTCCTCCTACACAGCCTGAGCCAACATATTAATTCTTGACCTGCAGCAAGTAACTCAAAAGGAAAAGACACACTTACATTGAATCGCTGCATAGCAGCAAAGCCTGTCATAAGGTGAGATTCCGTATGTCCAACTCCATTTCTTATATCATAAAACTTAGAATGGGAAGAAACTTTAGAGGTCATCACTAGGACAGCCCTTTGCTCAGCACATGAATCTTTTCAACATGAATCCTCTCAAAAGTATTATCGAAGAGTTAACTCATTATACAATGAGAGCTGTGATGTGAGAAAAGCAAGATGAGAAGTGCCAGAATCAAGAGTGATAAATGGAGAAATAGTGTATGGTAAGGAAGAGAAGGCTGTGGAGGCCAAGGAGAGAGAGGGTTCCAGCACCATGGCCTCCGCAAGTGGCAGCAAGAACAGCAGAAAATACAACTCTAGCTGGGGTCCCCGACCCTGTTCGCCAGTGCTCCTGGCTATTTAAAGAGAACAGTACTAATGGGGAATCAAAGTGGGCTTGATATAAAAGCCATCTAGGAAACCTAAAGGCCCTAGTGGAGGACTAACCTATCACTGTTGGGTTCAGCGTGAGACAAAAATAATAATGCTGACGCTACAATAAGTCTTCCAAACATTTTGAAATCTGATACCAAAGCCCACAGCTTCTCATAAATCCTACAGTGGTACATGGTTTGGAAATTAGGGAGTTTTACAGAGACTCCCTACGATTAAATTAATATTCCTTTCTTTGATATTATTTACAAATGGATTCCTTCTTAGAAACTGTATTTAAATAATTTTAAAACTGCATTTCTTACAATAAATGCCATTTAAGTCATCCTCAAATGCTTACTCAGTCTATTTGCTTTTATTTTCTTTTTCTTAGTATACCTACTTAAAGGAGAAAGCTACTTAACAGACAATGTACTCGGCTATGTCACTCATCAGAAAATTCAGCTCAACATAAAGGATCACAAAGCTCTAGATTCATTCAAGAGTGGGAGAAGACAGTATCTCAGAGTTGTCATGATTTTTAAAAAGTCAGCTCAGGAGTGAGACTGGGTATCAATCAAAATGGTTACAGTTTGAACCATCTACTCTAACTACGAATTTTAACTGAGCTAAAATGATGATTCCTAAGTACAACACATCATACTTCTAATGTTTCTCAGCAATTAAATATCTAAAGAGTCAACACACCCCCAAGAAAGCAGAGAAAATGAACTTTTTTAAAGCTCACCATTCATCAACTACAGGAGGCTCGAAAGATGCCATGCGCCGGAGGCTCAGCCTCAAACTCGGCCCTGCAGAGGAAAACTCCAAATAAGATTTCTTCAAAAACTGCTCTCACGCAGTACTAAATTACAAGCAGTGACCTCCCTGGAGAAGAAACTGAAGTCAACGGCTACATGAGTGTACAATCTAGGGGAAATGAAACCCAATTCTGACACAAGGGATGCTACACTAGTTCTCTAATGATAACAATTATAGTAACATTAAAAAGTAAAAGTACCACAATAAAGTTCTTTAAAATATTTCAAAATCAACAGAATGATCAAAAGGGAAAGACCAAATTCATTACATAAATAATCTGAATGGAATGTAATTTAATCTCCCAACCTAATCTCTCTGAAATAAAGTAAAATCCTCCAAGTCAAATTATAAAATACTACTTTATGACAATGCAGCTGCAGCACAGGAATCAGAACCTCATGCAAGAACAAAAATTTAGTGTCAAAATGTTCACAACACAGCTCAATCCACAAAACCGTAAGATAATTAAACTGTTTTTAGATTTCAATCAGTTTGGCCAGAAACCTTATCCAAACTACACTGATGCAAATCAGCAAGACTACAGCACTATCTAAATAACAACCCCACTACCTTATCTTTTACCTTTTATCGTTGATTTATGGGCTGACTGATGTTAAACCGATTTGTGCATGTGCCAGAAGTCAGTTCAGAAATACAAAACAAGAAAAGAGATTTAGAAGAATCAAATTCATGAATGAAAATGCTGACATCATAGTTCAGCTCCCGGTAGAGCTTAGAGTAGTATGTGAAAAAAAACAGTGCATCTTTGGGGATGTTAAATCACCAAAGTCATTTAGCAAAGGAGATAAAAGAAAAAGCCCTCGCTCAGAAAGAGGAAAGGAAAAAGATACTAAAAAAAAAAAACAGAAAAGCTATATTAACTAACAATTCCCTACACCAAAAATGAAAAATAAACAATGTGTATAGCCCACAAACAAGCGTAACTTCTAAACCATGGGCATGTTTCATGTTATTAATGTTAGAAGTAACATTTTTTAAAGATAATTGTTTAACTCTAAATAAATAGAACGTAGTCCCCCCATCCCAACCTTAAATCTTTCTCCCACCACATGGCATATCATTCAAAAAAGAGTGCATGATACAGCTAGACAGGTTTTATTCCTCCATTGAAAACTACCTGGCACTGCCACACCACACCTAATTTTAAGTAATTCTGAATACAACAGGATAGGACACAGTGACCAGAGGCAAGCTACTGGAGTTTTTATGTGTGGGGGAGAGGAAAAAAAAGGCTTCTATCTAATGATACCATATAAACTAATAAGAAAAGAGATTATAAAAATTTGATTAACTCAGAACTATTAAAAGCGGCTAGTGGTGTGGATTGTTCACATTTTTCATCTCTTGGCAGAGCTAAAAATACAACTAAGAATACAAACTTCTGTAAAATTTAGACACAATTTACTAAAATCCTTTTATCTGGGACACTTAAGTTACTGATTCCTAGATTCCTAATGTTTCCCAGGAAATTTAAGATTACTACATTCTTGGAAAATAAGTGACCCTCAGATTCTTAGTAAACTCCCAGAAGCACAAAACTACAAGGACATTCTCTCTTCTTTACCATTCATAGAGCTTAAAGTAGCCATTCACCCAAATGGATTTTTTAAAAATTTAAGCGATAAACAGTTTTGTCAATAAACATTTTTAAAAGAAGATCTTATTAAGTTAAAATGCAAGCATGCCAGTTTTATCTGTAAATCTAAAATGTTAGAAGAGATCATCTCACGTTGCCACCACAAATATCTTTGATAGAACATCACTACCCCCTTGTGGATTCACGATAAAAATTCCTTATCTTGAATCTTAACGTTTTAAGTGTTTCACTCGGCTGAACGTTCATTAAAGTTTACATTTTCTTCACTAAGAAGGGCTATTTTATTTTAATTAATTTTTAAAGGAAAAAAAAAAACCCTTAGCACTTTAAAAAAAACCAATCCCATCAACTTCATCTTTTAAACATCCCCATTTGCGGAATGTTCTTTATACAATACATACATTGGTTTCACAATGGTAACCACATCAGCATGCCGCTTTTTCTTAAAATATCTGAATTTACACTTCCAATCATCACTTTGAGATTATTTTTAATAATAAATGGGTAATTTTTCACTAAAGCATCTTTTTTTCTTTCTATTCGGTAATTTCACACCTTGTACCCATTTACTGCTCCCAAATGGTTTGATATCCAAGTGCCCCAGAAAACCAATGGGGCACATACATCCTCAGAAATGACTTTTAAGAAAAAGATAAAAAACCAAATATAAGTTTTAAAAGATTAAGTTAGTTCTTGGTAGTATTAACATACCTTCAAAAATGCCTCCTACAAATCTAAATCAAGCCTGATGAAGGAAAAAATACATATATACCTTTTTTTTCAAAACTGGAAAGAAGGGCTTTCTGTTTTCTTTTTTTGGCTGTTTTTTTTTGTTTGTTTGTTTTCAGTTGAAGGAGTACCTCTGGTTGTATCTGTGTATCATTCTAGTATAACACACGGATACAGCTTGTTAAACGTGCACTGCGAAAAAGATTAAATAATAAGTTTATCACTTGTTACAGACACTAAGATTTAGTTGAAAGTATAAATCATTCCTGCAATAAGTCATATGCTGTATGGAGAAAGTTATAGTCACAACTTGTCCTACTGTCCTTACTGGGAATTAGCTCCCCGTTATCTCACAGACGTTGAACACAAAAGTCGGGGCATAGTAATTTACTATTATCATGAGAAGACGAATGTCAGAACTCATTCCAATGGGTAAGTGAGAATAAATGAGGAAAAGCAATCCATTTTGCAAGTGTTTTTAACTGACGAAATACATAATCTTCCCTTGAGGTAAATGATAAGGAAAAATAGGAGAGACAGTACATGTTCTGTTGAATGAATGGAAATTGTGTGTCCCAAAAGGCTTTTCACACGTCAACCCCATTGAGACTGTACATCTAAAAGTACCAATTAGGTATCACGTCCAAAGCTAGTGACTAACCTTAGAGCAGGAGTGATCATGTTTTGCTTTTTGAGGATTTTGTTGTTATGGCTGTTGTTGGATTTTGGGGGGGGAAGATGGGGGCATTAGAAGATGGGGGGCATTTTAGATGCCTTTACGAAGCGAGATTAGTGGTTTAAGACTTATGCTACTTAATTAGTCTCCAATTATTAACACATTTAAGAATGTTAAGAACTCAGTCCCAAACATTTCTTGCAAGGCATGCCACTTTGTGCACATGTAACTATGAAACTATATTGCAGAGAGCAGAGTGATGAATACAGCCCCAAACCCACGCATCTCCCTCCTGGTCACCTTCTGCTCAAGGTCTCAGGAAGGGATATGTTACATGACTTGAAAGGCCTGCTTAAATTTGGAGGAAAAAAAAAGTGACAGGACTTTTCTAAATGAGCAAAGGACTCGTGTATAAGAAGACAAGCAACTGTATCAAGAATCAACAAAGCACTGGGGGTGAATGCGGAAGAACCATTAAAAAATATCTGGGGTCCTTCCATCTTATGCTGTGTCAATCAGTTGAAAGTAAACGAACAATCCTCTAAAAAAAGAGTGCAAAGGGAAGTAATGTGGCTGACACTTGGCCTCTCTTTGCAGTGGGGTACATAATATTTCTCTTTTAGTCCAGGGTAATGAGCTAAAAAAATGCTCAGGAAGCATTACCAATCTTTACACAAGGAGGCCCATGACCTTCTACAAGCAATGGCGTTCAAAGCAGAAAGATGCAACACAACCTCAGAAATACACAGCCAGCATACTGACAGCAACAAACTATCCTTTACTTTGTCCCATCATATAAAAAATCAGGGGCTGCCGCCCATTGTCAATATATACAAAGAAAGACTTCCTTACAAATACATGACAAATATCATGGGATGGAAGACAAATTATATATTTACAAGACCCTCTTTCTGATTAATCACAGGACTGACGGACATGACCTACTCTTCCCTTACATACGTGGTACAAAATAAAAGGATCTGATAAGTGTCTGATCAACCTGTATCCTGAACCTGAGCCTGATTAGAGATTCAAACAAAATTAAAAGAAAGATAGATTACACACCATAATATGGAAAACAGAGTGAATGACCGTGCACTCTCATTCAAGTCACATGGACAAGGAAGCAGAGCAAGAACATTTCTTGCTTCACACTCGGATCTCGAATACACCAAAGACTAAAGATAGTACTATAGCAGGCAAATTAACATTAGGAAAAGAACCCACACTTCCTTGTGAATGAAGACCCCAAATGAAGTTGGCTATACCCAAAGAAATGTACCATTATTAAATCAAAGAGACAGACGGAAGCTGGCTAAACTGCAGGAAAAACAAATTTCCAAATTACGATACGGGGAGGCTCAGATATCAGAGGGACCCAGTGTTTTACCCCAGATCGATATCTAGTCACCAAACTACTACCATCCCTTGCCTTGTAGTTTAAATCCTATTCTACCCATCCTTAGGGGAACAAGAAGTAACACTTCCTCATGGTACATACAGGACAAAAGGCAAGGTAGACACCCCTTTTTACTGAAAAATAGAAAGCCTATGAATATAGTAGATTCACAAACACCTTTTTAATAATAATGATGATGAGGGCAATAAAAGAAGCCTTTTTGTGTGGGAAGGAGCAAAAAATAAAGGAAAGGCTGAAGAAAAGAAAGGTATGGTTTAAGTCATCTAGAACAACAAAAAAGGGCACGGTAAATGATTCTAGAAGGTACAGCACATTTTAGAAAACAATCTATATAATAGAAATACAAAACACTCATTACCAAAACACCACCTGTCACCACAAAAATATTCACATGAACGAAAGACACTGACAAAACACATACTACAACAGTTCTAAGCAAGAGTTCTTAAGAGTACAATATTAGCAGAATTGGCTTCTATAAACATTGAGAGGAGGGAAATGTGACTTAATAGAGGAGAAAAAGAAAAGGTGTATTTCACATTAACTTTTTATTATTACCCTCAGTATTTATACCTAACCTGCATCCAAAAAGAATTTGAGGCTACTTATCAAAGAGAAAGTGAGACACAAATAACTGTACCATTAAAAAGTGTAAAGCATTAAAAGTCACAGAGTAAAGAAAGGTAGTGATAATTGTACCAGATATCTAGGCTAAGAATGGTCACCACAATCAAGCATTAAATTTAGATACAATACTCTCTGGCATTGAAAAAGTCACAGCAGCTCCTGTACTTCTTACTATCTGATAATATGAAACATACCAGTTAATCAGAAGAGGAAAGTATTTTTCTACCACTTCCTTATATGAAGAACGCTTCTGAATTTATATTCTATACATACCTAGTATAATGCTGATGCTCAAATGTTAAAATAAGTATTCCAATCAATCATATATCTAAATGATCAAAATTCATGCTTAGACAATTATAAAAAGGTTTGACTTTTTTTTTCTACACACACACGCACGCACGCACACGCACGGGCGCACCCACACAGGCGGGGGGAAAGCTGTTAAATACCTCTCCCAGTCCACCCTCCCCACCACCCCAACTCCTATGTGAGGGGCGGGGGGGCTTAATAGGATACTATCTATTGCATTTTTGCAAGATTACAATCCAAAAAATTGAAATTAAGAGAAGAATTCCATATAAGAAAGTATAAAAGGCAAAAACAAGAGACACTGAAATTTCATTCATACCAAAAGGCTAACAAGACCCAATTTGGACTCAATCAAGGTCACATAACTCACACAGATCCTTTGCACATACGAGAAGCTCTGTAAATGTATCCTGAAAGGATGATTTCAGTAACTGGAGTATGGATATAAAAATTTCTCCTGAAAAGGAGAGAACCGACACAACTACATGGGGGAAGGAAGAGAACAAGAGAATCACCTTCTACTGCCTTTTCCATAAGGAAGTCAGAAAGAAGCACAACTGCACACAAAGAAGTATTTCCCCAAACTTTAGGAAATGGGAAACAAAAGAATGACTCAGAGTAAAGGAGGAGTGGGGAAAAAATGTTACACCAGAAGATGGGTTACCTTAAAATCCATCAGAAAGAATTATGATCCCACCGGGACATATGACCTGATACCTGGCATAAACAGGGAATGAAAATAACGTCACCTAACTCTAAAGAATAGGCTGTTTTAGAGGGAAGGTCTAAAACCTCTAGGTCAAAAAATTATAGAAATAGACATGTGGATAAGCAAGATATATAAATATGTCTTAAAGAGGAAGTAAGACCAACTTAACAACAAAAAGACAAAAAACACAATCATAAAATGGGCAAAGGACTTGAACAGACATTTCACTAAAGAGGGCATTCAAATGGCCACCAAATACATGAAAAGGTGCTCAGCATTATTAGCCATCAGAGAGATGCAAATTAAAACCACAATGAAATACCATTTCACTCCCAGTAGGATGGCTAAGATTGAAAAAAAAAAAAAACGCAGAAAATACCAAATGTTGGCAAGGATGTGGGAAAATTGGAACCTTACCTATTGCCGTTGGGAATGCAAAATGGTACAGATGTTGAGGAAAACAGTGTGGCTGTTCCTCAAAAACTAAAAATAGAACTACCATATGACCCAGCAATTCCACTCCTAGGTATATACCCAAAAGACTTGAAAACCGAGACTCAAAAAGAGACTTGTACACCAATGTTCACTGCAGCGCTATTCACAACAGCCAAAAGGTGGAAACAATCTAAATGCCCATCAACAGATGAATAAATAAACAAAATGTAGTACAGACATGTAATGGAATACTACTCGGCCAGTAGGAGAAATGAAGTCTTGATACGTTCTACAACATGGATGGAGCTTGAATACATGATGCTAAGAGAAATAAGCCAATCACAAAAAGACAACTATTGTATGACCTCACTTATATAAAAAGACAAGAAAAGGTCAATGTACAGAGACCAAAGTTTTATTAGTAGTTAGCAGGGGGGGGAGGGAGAGGGACAAGAGAGGTTAACAGTGATGGAAAAATTGCAATTATTAAGGGTAGGGTTGCACAGCAGCCAATTATCATAATCGCTGTTAATAAGTTGTGTACCTGTGTACCTGTAAAAAGTTGAATTGGCAAAAGTTGTGGGATAAATATATTTACAACAACGAGGAAAAAAAAAAAAGAGTAGCTGCTGAGGCTGCTTATGTACAACCAAACACCTCATGGGATTTGGTTCCTTGGTTTGGAGGTTTAAGGTCATGGTTTCATGGAACATCCCAGTTAACTGGCCTAAATATGTGTTTAGTGCCTCTGTTCTACCTCCTAGTTTGTTGCGTAGTGCCTGGGGTCTTAAAAGATTGCAAGCAGGCATCCAAGGCACAACAATTGCCCTCTATTCACTTCGAGCAACAGAGGAAGAAGGAGCATCAGGAACGCAGGATATTGAACGTGTGGCTAATTGCCTCCACGAACAACTGCCTCCTTTACCATTAGGCCAGAAGAACTGGATGGTGCCTCGATACCGTTACTGAATATTTTGCTCAAAGATTCCATAGAAAAATCTTGATCAAAAGGGGGAAAATGCACAACAGAATTTCAAATTCTAATGGACTCTAGACCTTCTGGAGCCATGGAGGGTGGATGAACCCCTGAAACTACTGAGATAATCTTTACCTTAAACCAAAAATATCCCCTTAAGTTATCTTAAAACTGAACAATAGTTTAGCTTAACTAGTAAAAAAAAGTCTGCCTTGAGCAATTATGCTTTTAAGAACTATCTATATGGTATCAAATTGACAACGGCAGTGAGTTTATGTTAATGAAGGAGGAACAACTCAGAAAAGGGTGAGGGCTGTTGCACAACTCACAGAATGTAACTAATGTCACTAAACTATACATGTAGCAACTGCTGAGTTAGTGTATTGTTTTGCCATGTATATTCTCAAGGACAACAACAAAACAAAGTTTGGGGCAGGGGGAAGAGCAGCCCTACTCTTTTGAAAAGGAAAACCTGGCCCAATCCGACCTTGAGTAGAGGCTGCTGTATATACATCAACATTTTGAATCCACTGAACAATGAAATGGAGAAATTCAACATTTCCCAGAAACAGGACAAGTAAGGTCTTCAAGAAGACAAGAAAAGAAATTTCCCATAGGTCTTAAAATCTTGTCAAAAAATGGGGAAGGGGGGTGGGGGGTGGAGGAGTGACGTTCTAACAAGAAGCCAAACAGAAAAATGTAAAAAAGACAAGCGGTTAAGAGAAGCCAGTGAACCTGACAAGAGAACACCCTGCACTGGAGGAGTAAGAGGAAAAGTTGATTTCCAGTAGTCCATGGAGAGGGGCGACCACATTAAACTCAAGGAGCCTCATTTTAGACATAACCCCAGGTGTGCTCCTCTTGCTCACCTTTACCACTTTCCCTTCCCTGGCCCAGTGTACTGAATATCCTGCTTAGCAATGAAAAACCCAAAAGGCAGCCAGTGGAATGGAGAAGGGCATGGAAGGATCCACCATGGAAACTGGTTGACTGTACTGAGTTTACTCCAATATACACAGCAAGTATTCAACCCTATTTTTCCAAGGGTCATTAATACTACACCCTAAAATTCCATCCAATGCGCACTTCAATTCCATCAAGCTTATTACAGATACATACGGCATATAAACTAAAAGCAACCAACAAAAAAAAGGAAATGAGGTCAAAAGTTCTACTTTCTGGCAATGGGTATTATGCCCGTGAATAATTTGATATTAACTGAGAGACAAAATCCAGAAGCCAAACTAAGGCTGACCACTCAGTAACTCCAGATGGAGATGGTCTCCTTTGCGAGAAAAGTGCTTAAAGGTTCAATGCCCAGAGCCTGAAAGAGCTTGTTGGGGAGGGTAGCCTGACAGAGCGTGTTGGGGAGGGTGAGTCTCCAAACTAAGCCTGACAAAAAGTAACACTTTGTCACTAAGTAACAGCAGGTAGCAGTCGTCTCAAGCTTTGGGAGGGCAGGAAGTGAGGGAGACAAGGGAGGACAGGCACCTGACTCGGAGTAGGCTCAGCTCAAATCATTCCTTGCCCAAGAGCCAAACAGCTAAACGAATTACGACACTCAGAAAAAAAGACTTCTTTTCCTAATGTTTACAATCTCTCAATTATTTAAATGCCCAAACACATAACAGGAACATATTTATGGCCATTCATTCCCAGTTTTGTCACAGAAAAACATATTCTTCTCACCTATCTCCTATCATTTGCCCAAAATATATAAAATACCTTCTCTCTACACTGCAGTAAGGAAATCAAGATAAGAACTTTTCCCCCTACAAGAAATCAAGCAGAGGATACCGCCCCTAAATTCAGAATGCTTAAGCTTTGGTCCATATCAGCAAGCACTCTACACTTAGTATATTCAAGGACTTGGTGAACATTCAAGACGTCATTCTGCTTATTCAGTACAGTACAGATGACAAATGAAAGAGTGGTAAGATTTGCCATTTATCAATGATACTTCGTCCTGATTCTTCTAAGCATGAAAGGTTACCAATCACAGTAATATATCTCTATATTCTCACACATAATCGTGCCCACATATGTCCAAAATGTATAGATAGTCATCTACACCTTCCAACTTTCTGCATACAGGTAACGGATGTGATTTCATCTATGAATATATACGTATATAATAAATAAATGTATACCCTCATGATAATCTCTTTTTTGCCAAAAGAGAACCAGGACGGCAAAAAATAGAAAGCATTCAAATTTCTCCTTCACCTGAAATCCATAAGATCGAGAGAAATGTTTGGATCCCACAAGAGGCAACACCAGGGCCAAAGGAAGCTTCTAGTACAAAGAGCACACAAGCAACCCCTTCCCAAAAAGCACACAGGCAACATGGGCATCTACAGTCCCTTTTCTGGATGGGAAGGCATATGGCTTCTACTTACCCAGCCAGCATGAATACAATTTAAGAAAATTGCAAAAAGTCAAGGTAACAGGGCTCACCAAATATGGCTGACTGGGAAACAGAAACCATAAGGAGGCTATGAGTTCTCTTAAAAAAAGACATGGGAAGTTTATTTCCAGGGAAGGCTCAAAGACTTTGAACGCAGGATGCACAAAGTATGGTTCCGACTACACAGAAGACAGTGATCACATCAGAAGACAAGGGCACATGACCCTTTCCCCTGTGGGGTACAGGGTCAACAGGTGAACGCTGTCCCCAAACAAGATGCAAGACTAAACTGGAAGCAAAAATACACCCTTCTTTTCCTCAGACCTATGACTAATTATCATGGCCCCTTTTTACTCAAGAGCTAGGCACAATGGAAGCCCTGTCCTACATATTCCTGGGACACCCACCCTCATCCCAACAAGGAACTCCGAGGAGAAAGAGCATGTTAGGGCAGACAGACAAATGGGGAAAGGAGCATTAGAATGCCCAATTTTTTCCATAAGAAAAAGAGGGCAACTCAAAGGGTATTCAGGAAATGAGCTCACTCTAAGCCAGGAAAGTGTGTGTAGAGTATACATAATCCGTAAGAAGTAT